AAGTAAGATATCCCACATGGCCATCATAAACATCTCTTCAGAGGTGCTGGGACCTTCAGTTTTCCGGTGACAGGAAACCAGTTGTAAAACTCAGTCATTATAGATACAGCTAGTGATTTAATTCCGAGGCCCCCTCCTCCCAATTGAATGGCAGTATCACTTTTAGGGATCTGACAATGGGAATCCAGCTAGTATATGATACATGAAGACATTGCATTGCTTCTTGCTGTTTCTTATTTACAGGATAATCTTGTATGTGGGAATTTAGCTGTAAGTCTTGACAAGTACAATGGGATTTACTCCCAGGTAAGTGTGCTGGGGATTACAGGCTTAGCAATGAAATTAATTTGGTGGAAATTATTTTCATAAACTTACTTTAATTGGTTTATAACGGGTGTCAAACAAGCATTGTTATGGCAGCACCATGTGACATATCACTACTTCCCCCCACTTTCGCTAAACCGGCTGTGGACGTGGCCAGCCTGTGACGCATCCAGCCCACAGGCCCTTAAATAAGAGGAGTGCTTTCATTTTAAGAGACATGGATCATGACACTGAATAAGGACTTTTGAATACTTTGGATTCGCTAATTTGTAACCCTGTGGCTCTATGGAAAGCTATCTGAGCAATTAACCTTTCCTGCTATTCAGTAAAGGAGACAGTATTTCCCACCTAAACTTTATTCAGCACTGCAAGATTCGATAAAATGTAAAAAAACTAAAAAACAATAGTATATGATTACAACATGAGTAACAACTAGCAGCATGCTCCAAAAAAGAGACCAAGCTGTAACTAAAGATTAGGTCGAAAAGTGGGGGGGACAATCAAGGATAGCTAAGTCCTGCCAATTGCTTAGGCCAGGGGTGTCAAACTGCTGGCTGTTGGGCCAGATGCTGGCCACACCCACCCCAGCTCCACAAATGGGAAAAATTTCATCAAACGCCACATGACGGCAACGTCACACAGCGACTTTGGCACCCATGGCTTAGGCTCTAAGTTCTACATTGAGAAATAACAGAGAAATGAAAAGCAGAAGATGCAGACATTAAGAAGCACCTAATTGGCAATGGCCATTTGCAAAACAGAGCATGCAAAATCCTTGCCATAGACCACACAAACCATACTGTCAATGTATCAGAAGGAGAAATAATTCAACATCTTTTACAAAAATTAAGAAGAATGTATTTTCACTATTTAAACAACTGTGGTTCAAACAGTAGACAATGCTTATGGAAACCAATAATCCAAAATATAGTGGAATTTTCAACTCAGCTGTTGTGTTGCCATAAAGGTTTAGGGAAACGTTGATTACAAAGCCAACATTAAGATGCATGGACTTCAACTCCAGAATTCCCCAGCCGGCATAAACAACACACTGTTATAAACTGTCTATCCTTTTGATCCTTATTAGGTTTAGGAAATATGGCTTCAATATTTTGAACAAGGTGCTTTGCATACCAAAGGCAACATGATTCGTCCTGTGAAAATGTAGTACAATTGATCCTGGGTTTTTTTGGAACACCATCTAGCCCAGTGATGGCTAACCTTTCTCCCATCGCGTGCCAAAAGTGGGGGAGCGCAAGGAGGTCATGCGCAGGCATGCCCATACCCATAATGCTATGTGCACGACTCCCCACATGCATGCACGTGCAACCCTCCCTCCCCCCCACCTTTGGCGCATGATAGACCTGTTTTCCGCCTTCCCCAGGCTCCAGAGGCTTTTTAAGAACCTGGGGAGGGCGAAAACGCCTCCTGCACATGGTACAGGAGGCCGACTAGGCCACACCCACCATGGCCACTCCCACCCAGCAACTCAGCAGGGAACCCGTTGTTGAAATTTTTCAAGCCCACCCTTGCTCTACTCTAGATGTTTTATTTATCTAGATCTTGGGTGTCAAACTCGATCGGGTAACGTGACGTATTGCAACGTATCACAATCTTTTTTGCCTTTGCAGAGCCGGAGGGGGAGTAACTTGCATGTGACATATCCGGTCCACAGGCTACCAGTTTGACACCCCTGATGTAGATCATAGAATGTAGAATAATAGGGATGGAAGGGACCTTGGAGGTCTTCTAATCCAAACCCCTGCTCAAACAAGAGATCCTATGCCCATGATTGCAAACCTATGGCACACATGCCCCATGTGGCATGGGGAGCCCTCTCTGCGGGCATGCGAGCCATCACCCAGCTCAGCTTCACCGTGCATATGTGCAAGCCTCCCGGCTGCCAGCTGATTT